GGGGGGGGGGGGGGGGGGGATCTGAGGCAGTGGTGGGGAACACAAATAGCTGAAATCGTTGCTGAAAATGTGCAAGTGTCCGGACTATGTTTCCATCACAGCTGGTGCTGTGTGGAAGGAAGGGTTGGGTCTTGTTGATTGTTTGTGGTTGAAGCTTTGTGTGATGAGATTCTGTAACTCTAAGCAGTTCCTGCAGTTGGGAAATCTGCAGATCCAAAATTCCTAGGCACGTTGTGAACTGCTTGGGTCTCTGACTAGGGAAGGGGACTTTGGATCCGTTAAAGTTGCATTTCGGTGAAGGGAGGGTGCTAAGAAAAGAGGGAAGATGGGAAGGTGGTGAAAGAGGTAAGAGAGACTTCTCTGCCCTGGCGCACTCTGAGCTACTTCCCTGTTTTTCAATACAGTCTTATCACTTTCTTCCGAGTTTGCTGTAACTAGATATTTTCATGAACTTCCTTTGTCAAGCTGTACCAGGGGATAGCATGTGAGCCCCTACTCCCAACCCCCAAACATAACTTAAAGAAAATGTCTTTATGAATAAATGTTTCATTATTTTGGATCAAAATAAAAACTGAAGCCTTGACATTTGCTATCCACCCGACTTCATTCATAAATCAAACCCCTAACTAGCAAACGCATTTCCATGACATCTTGATAAAAATGACTCTAAGAACTGCAGCTCATTACTTCTAATTTTAAAAATTAAAGGATTTGTTCTAAATTTTAATGGAGCGGGCATGCCCATTTTAGAACGTGAAGCCCTTGGATAGTCCATGTCACTATTAAACTTGCTTTCACAATGTAAACAGGGACTGTCAGTCTAACTGGGCAATGCCTGGAAATCACGGGGAGTGAAAAGAAAGATAAAGAAGAAAACCAAAGCTGTGTGGAACCTGTCTGCCTGAAGGGAGCCACTGGATTAGAGGGGCGGTAGGGAGTTGTTTTCTTTTCCTTTTTTCTGACTTTCAGGGAATCCATGAAGCTTATCACAGTGATGGGCAAGAAGATACCAGGTCCTACGTGCTCCCCTCTCCCACTTGCCATTGGTTCCCCACACTGCATTCCCAGTGGCTGGCATTTGTCAGGGTTTCTTGGGAACTTGCATTTATGTAAATGACTTAGGGACTCATGTTATGACATCACTCACTAGTGTAATATTGCATCATTCTCTGGCCTTCTTCCCATGTCCTGACGCTCTGAACAATCCTCCTGACTACAGCGCCACTAGAGTTGATTTATGTTTCTAACGTGAATTTGCAACTGGTGGGAAACCCATGTGGGAAAGGGCCACCTTAGGTGAAATGAGACATGTGAAATCAGAAAACCTAAGTGATACTTGGTGATGCTTAATTTTCTTAGTTAAGACCTTATCCTTTCTAACTCTCAGTTAATCTGAGAAATGATTAGTTTGGACATGATAGCCTTGAGTTAGCATTATCCAGTACTTACATTGTATCCAATATACTGACATAATAATTCTTTCCTAAATGTCAATGTAAAGCTAAGATCTGTGATCTCTTATGATAGTCTACAGCTGGGTAGGGTGAAATCATTTACTTTAGGGAAATTCTATCATTTCCTTTGCTATATCAGTAACTGAATATTTTGTTTGTTTGTATGCTGTAATTTGGTAGCTGTATTGATGTCTACATATTTCTAGAGGTGTCATAAAAAAATCTGAGGTCATCCCCAGCCAAAAAAATGTATTAAGGAATATCATGTTTAGTTACTTGCAGTTCTTCTGCCTCTTAGAACTCTTCTGTAAATGTAAAATTAAACACCAATATTGACATGCCCCATTATTATTTACTTTTTTTAATTGTCTGTCAGGATAGAATTAGGGCCTAAAATTCCAGAGCCCTTTTTCAAACCCTCAAAAGGGCTGCTTCCTGTTTTCTTCAACACACTACCCCACACCTACAGTTCAAAGAGATTTGGACCTCACCCAAGCATTCCATGACTTAGTGGGAGAAATGAGAAATGGACTTGGAGAGGAATTAGATGAATTGAAGATGTGTTCTCAGGCAAGTCAACTCTTTCGAGAAAACTTGTTGCACTCATATAATTTTCCCCCTTTACATTTTATGTATTTGAAATATTCAATTCAGTAAGATGTACAAACAGTAATGAATTGGAGAAGTTCTCAGCTGTGTATACACTTGTATAACCAACACCTAATAGGCCTGGATAAAATTTAAAGCCAAGATTTTTCTTAATGGACAGAGCACATCAAGTGTTCAAGAAGTTGGAAGAGCCTTTGTTTTCTGCACGTAAGACACAGGCAGTAGCCGGCATCTATCCTGAGACTTCCATCTGATATGAGGGTGAAGACGCATGGCTCTCCCCTTTCACAGAACTACAGCATCCTCATTTTCTGGTTCTTTAAGCATCAAGGGACAACTGTGTGGGTAGTGTTGTAGCTCAATTTTCTTACACAGAAAACAAATGAGCCCATTTTTCACACTTTCTTTAAGAACCATGAGACAATGTGGCTATTTCGCCCCAAAATAGGGAATGCTCAGGAGGGATGTGACAGCTGTCTGCAAATATCTGAAGGGCTGTCATTTGGAAGAGAGATTTGAAATGTTCTTTGTGGCCTCAAGGGGGTAGAAGTAGGAGCTAAAGGAAAACAGGTTTTACCTCACTGTAAATAACTCCCCAGTATGGGATGGGAAGCTTTAGGGGGTTATGAGTCCTCCGACAGCAAAAATATTCAAGTATAAGAAAACAACGTTAACTGCTCCCAAACTTGGTTATCCATCAGACTCTCATGTGGAGGCTTTTTGTTTGTTTGTTTGTTATTCCTAAGTAGATTATCAGGTACCACAACATTCCCTGCCTGCACAGGTCCTCCAAGAAATTATGATGTTAAATAGAACTTGCATTGAACATTTACAATGGGCCTGGGGATGACTGTGCATTTGGTGAGGACCACAGTGCTCAAGTGAGAGAAGGATCCACTCCTCAGTCCTGCAACCCACAGGATGTCCTTTACACTCACCCCTTGCTATGCACCAGCACTGTTTCCAAGTTTTTGAAAATCAGCTCTTTCATTTTCAGAGGAACTCAGTGATGCAGGTACCGTCATTACCTTCAACATACAGATGTGGAAACTGAGGCTGAGATATATTACATAATATGCCCAAGGTCACACACCTCAGCTTAGCGTTCAGTTCCCCGCCTAAGCCTTGCAGTTTCTCAGCGCATTGCTAGAGAACCTTAATTCATGCTCTCGCAGATGATTAGCTACTGGTACAAACATTAGCTCATGAGAATGCCCAGACGCATGGGTTTTTCCATTCAGAAGTCCCAGATCTGAGAACACTCAGCATGCCTGTGCAGCGATTGCAGGGACATAGGAGCCATCAGACAAGCACAAATTCAGAGGCAGCAAAGGACACACTTTGAATGAGAAACCAATCAACTTACGTAGAGACACCCGCAGTGAGAAACCCAAGCGATTGCCTGACTCATTATCTGGAAAGCATGCAAGGCATTCACAGAGTCCCAACCAACCTGCTGCATGTTTTCAAAGGCAGCATGTAAATTTGAATGAGAACATGTTCAATAGGTGTCTCTCTCATTAAGAAAACCGTAAAGTCCTGGATTCAAGCAAAGCAATGCATTTAGATGGTAGGAAGACCATCAGCCTAATAGTAAAGAACCATGGGTGCTAAGCACATTTCTGCCCCTAATAGTCATGTAACTTGTGCCTGTTGTTTTCCTCATTTGGACCTCAGTTTACTCAGCTCTAAGGTAAGAACTTCAGATAAGGTTAAGAAGTCATATCTGACTGTCCATGTGGCCCAGGGCAGGCCATGTAATGTGTGAAACAAACATTTCACACTCCTGTTACCCCCAACATGACAACTGGAATTCGGTCTCAGTGCGAGGGCAATGGGGGGAGGGGTATAGCAAGTTGGAGGGCACAGGCACCATCTAAAGAACAACTTCCTCAACTTGAATTGAATTTAATTCTGGGGAAATGTGTACCAAATGTGTCCCAATACATTAGGGACTGGGGAGGTAGCTCAGTAGGTAAAGTACCTGCCGAATAGACATTAAGTTTAGAAACCCCAACATCCACATAGATGCTGAGCAGGTATGGCAGACCACCCGTGATGCTGGAAAAGACAGGAAATCCCATGAGCAATCTGACTAGCTAGACCAGCTGAATCAGCAAGCTCTGGGGTTCAGGTGAGAGACCTTGCCTCAATATATAAAGTTGAAAACAATCAAGGAAGACACCGGACATCAACTTCTGTCCTCCACATATGCACACAGGTGCATCTGCACCCCGACACCAGGCACTCACACATGCAGATACATATATGTGCATGCATACCACACACACATAAATGAAAACAAGAAAAGGCAGGCATACAATTCTTTTGAATTTTAAAATGCAGGCAACCAATTCAACTTTCTAAAAATACGGAATACGCCAAATCATATTGACATTATAGCTGAATCTTGTACACGGGTTGCCAATTTTGAGCCCTAAAAATTATCTAAATGACCTTTTTTGTCCAAGTTTCTGATATTTTCATACTTGAATCCAGAATTACTCTTTACAAGTCAATAATCACTTTTTTCAACTCCTTAAAAAATAGCTATTAAGAAAAGAGAGCCCACTCAGGATTTTAGCTCAGGGAAGTTGAAATTACAGAAAATAAGTTCAATAAACTGCTATTTCTACTACAGATGGACCTGAATGCCACCAAACATCTGGCTGAAAAACTGGAAAAAAATAGCCAGTCATTAGAAGT